GTTTCTGATTTGGAAGAAAATTTCTGACGAGTTTGTGTTTTACGTTTTGTTTTCTCACTAATTTAGTTTCACTACCATGTATTTAGTGTTGAATTCCATTATTACGTTGAAAATTCTTTTATGTCTTTGTTTTGGGAGTAAATAAAGGTATACCGAAGAAAATGTTTCTCAATTAGATGTTTTTCTTTGTTTTGGAATGGGAAAAAGTGGTTTTATTTGATTAATCTTTAGCTTCTGTGAGAAAGCCGAAAAAGGGGCCTGTCTATAATTGTTTTGTTGTTCATGCAATCTCTGTTTAGAGCAGATTGAGGAGCAGAAGGGAAATGATTTTATTTTTGTAGTGCTTTGGCCCCAATTTTTGTAAACTGAGAAAAGTCAATTACAGTGCTTTTTAGTTAGTGTGAAAATGGAAGGTTTCTAAACTGGAGTAGATATTTGTTCCTTAATTATTTGGAGGATAATTTGCCATTAGCTGTTTTAAAAAAGAAAAACTTAATATTGGGAATTTTGAGTTTGATTATATGTTACTCTTTTTCTCATGAATCAAGGAATGGATGAATATGTCCACTTATACTCTTTTTATTTTTGATATAAAGAACCTCTATTTTGATGTGAAGGAAACTTAGGGATTCAAAATAGATAAATGTAAAGACCTAGATTTGAATACTGTTGTACTAGATTAACATATTGAGATCAGTTGAATGGAGAGTCATGACATAAGTAAATTGTATGTGTTTTAGTTTTTTGTCGTGCCACTTCAGTTTTATTTTTGAGGTGATTTTGAAAAGTTTGTTGGAGCTTTACTTGTTGCTGATGTTTTAGATTTTTGTTGCAGATGTTGAAAAGTTCTTTCAGATGTGCGATCCTGGTAAGTCCTGTATGCTTTATAAGTTTATTTCATAAATGTGGCTTCCACTTTTAGAATAGCTTGTGTGCTATGTATAAATTATTCCTTTGGGGCTGTAAATGAGAGGTCTCTAACAAATTTGGAACTTAACTAGGTTGTCATTACATTCTTTCAGGAATCTAATATATTGGTCATCGACAATAGCTGTTTGCACTCGTGTTTTGAGCATGTTCAAGGTTCTATATAGGAGCCTCTGTTCAAATAAGTTAATGGAGATGCTTGTGATGTCACTTATCGACAAAAGACAAAAAGAAAAAAAAAATGAAGCTAAAAATGACCATAGCTTAGTAAGAATTTCTTTGGTCGATTATTTGTTTTTGAAAATTGTGATTAAATCATGGTGTTATTGAGTTCATTCTAAATGATGAAATAATCTATACTGGGAAACGGCTAAGTAATATGATTTTGAGAATTAAGAAGAAAAGCTAAATTGTCTTTTGTGCATGCTGTGTGTCCCAGGTTTGTCTAAATACAATGTTGCATGTATGCTTGTGTTGTGTTATGAATTATATAATTTTCTTTAGAGCTGTAGTCAAAGGAGAATAATCTATTTTTTGTTTAGTGATGTTGCATCCTGGACAAGGTTGTTATGAAGTCGAGATGACAATGACAAAGATCAAAAAGATGACAATGATGATCATTGTTGTTATTATGATATAATGTCTGTGCATTATTGTTTTAATGAATTTAATGGTTTCTCAGAATCAATGATAATTATTTTCTTTGAATGGTTGAACCTTCATATAAATTCAAGTCCGCATAAAATCTTTTCAAAGCTTGATCTGTGATACTTTGATGTTCAGAGCTGTTTGACAATTAAAGCTGTATCTAATAGGGGTTTTCCCAGTTCTGGCAAAAAAAAAGGGTCCAGTCAGTTTTCATTTTTTGGTGTTACTTCCTATTTGTGGCTATGTTTTTGCTGTCTGTTTCAAGCAGTCTTTATGAGCTATTTTCTTCTTACAGAGAAGGAGAATCTTTCCTTATATGGATATCCTAGTGAGCAATGGGAAGTCAACCTACCTGCTGAAGAAGTGCCTCCAGAACTGCCCGAGCCTGCACTTGGTATTAACTTTGCAAGAGATGGTATGCAAGAAAAAGACTGGCTATCTTTGGTTGCTGTTCATAGCGATGCATGGCTAGTTTCTGTTGCCTTCTACTTTGGTGCCAGATTTGGGTTCGATAAGGCTGACAGGTAAGTTGCAACCAATCTGTAGAGTTTATCTTGATCAGACGCTGCATGGTTGTCAGTAAAGTTCATTTTTTGTGTTCTCCTTGGTAGATAAACATGAGGTTGTGAGCTTCTGTTAAATATATTGTTGTTTTTCTTTTGTTGCAGGAAGCGACTTTTTAATATGATTAATGAACTTCCAACAATATTTGAAGTTGTGACTGGTACTGCAAAGAAACAAGTAAAAGAGAAGTCATCTTCAAATCATGGTAGCAACAAATCCAAGTCGAACTCCAAAGCGGTAAAATTACTTTCCATGCGTACTTTTGTTTCAAGAAAATTACATAAAATGGGTAAATCTTGGCAATGCAAAAGATTACATGGAATTTGCACATAATGGGTTCTATTGATATGTCACCTCAAATGAAAGAGGCATTGTCCCGCTATTGAAACGTAAAGATTCAATTTTTGGTGGTATTTTTTCATCATTAAAATCTGAATCTGTTTGTGGCTCAGTGGAGTTACCAGGCACCCTGGATTTTAAATGAGTTCAATTCTAATATTTGATGGCAACAATTTGATTTACTTATTTTTGTCACTAAAAAGCAGCGAGGATCAGAATCTCAGGGAAGACATTCAGAAGTGGTGCAGCCAAAGGACGAAGACGAGGGCTTGGACGAAGAGGAGGAAGATGAACGTGAAGAGACATGTGGGGCATGTGGTGGAGGGGGACCATCCTCATTAGATGAACCCTGGATTTTTTGTGACTTCTGTGAAACATGGTTCCATATGAAGTGCGTGAAGATAACCCCCGCAAGAGCAAAACAGATTAAGCAGTACAAATGCCCTTCATGCAACAACAAGAGAGCTAGGCCTGATTAAAATAAATACCCAATAGCTTGATAAATACTCTTATAAGTTGATTCTCTAAAATCTGATCTGTTTAAGACTATTTGTAACCTGCTTTTATAATTTGCTTCTAGTGGAGGCTACGTTTAGTGACAGATTTTCTTTTTTTCTTTTTAGTCCTATGAAACATTTGCGACTCTTTTCATATATCTATCCAAGTAATTCTTAGTATTAAACATCCTCCATTTTTTTTAATTGTCAATTAAAACTCCTTCATGAAAGGTGGACAATCTTGTTATCACACGGAATTTTAACTGAACAGTTATTTATTTATTTATCATTTATTATCTATGGTAAAAGGAACGAGGCATTATGTTACGCTTGTTTCTTTTCTACTGATTCATGGTTATTATGACTCCGATTCCTGGTTAACTGGAATCATGCTTACCTCGATTTCTCATTACTCTGATTCATGCGTTACTCCGATTCCTGATTAGTAAATATGGCTGAGATGGATTTGAATTCAAAATGGAAGGCCCATGTTTCATGCAATTTGCATTGCACTTCGAATGGTCTGAAATATTAGAAAAAAATACCTTAAAATGTTTAAAATAAATTATAAATTTCTACATAGATATTTTTATGTTAGTTTGTAGGAAAATCATATGTTCTCCAAATTTAAATTTTTTAATGTCAATTTATTTTGAAAAATAAAATAAATCTAACACACAAAATTAATTTTAAAAAGTAAAAAAAAAAACACAAAAATGAATTATCACAAACAAATTGAATATGCATAAAGTGGCTTTACACCCCCCGAAAATACACCCTTCCATTGATGATGCTCTTACATAAGATGCCATAACTTTTTTTCATTATTACTATTTTTTCTTCCAACGAGCAGTGTTAAATGATTTTTTTTTCTTCCCAGTTTTTGTTTTGACCGAAACAATAAGAGATTTATCTTTTTGAAAAATTATTTGGCTCATTCAGTAGTATACAACAATGCTAATATGAGCCATGAGCAAGCGTGTTGTGTCTCTTTTGTGCAGTTCATGTGTGCTTTTTCATGCTGACTTGTCGTTTCATGCTTTGATTTTTACCTTACAAAAAGATTATAACAGAAGATGGACCATATCACATGCTGCGTTTGGGCATCAACCTTAAATTCATGCTTAACGTGTCGTGTAAACAATGCGTGATACGACTTGTCATCAAAATTGATACGACGCATCATTAAAATTTTATAATCAAATACCATTTTCTCATTACTGTCATTTTCTTATAATTTCCTAAATTTTGTTTTAAGCATATTTATAAAAATAAAAGCATTTATGAGCGTGCCCACAAAGTCAGAAACAGATCATCATCAGCATTCTAACTACAAATGATGGATGGATTGTGATATAAAACAACCACTTGCAAAAGTATATATCTCCAAATGGATTATAAGAGCTTCACAAACCTCAGCAACTACTACAAAGTCCAGCACATGCGTTACATAATCATCCAAATCCGGATGCGCATACAAATATATTAATAATACAAAGTTTAAAAAAAAAAAAACACGATAACCAAGCTTGTCCCATTGGAAAAAGATTCGTCAAATAAATTATGAACCACAACCATAGAATTGAGAATATGAAAATATATAAATTATAGGATGAAAAGACATGTTGGGTATGTGTTTGTTTTTTCGAGCCAAAATTAGGAAAGGAATGGAGAAAAGTCACACACGGGTATTAAAGGGGCTTGAACCAAGGACCACTTAAAAACAAATCAAAAGTTTGGGTCAACCTAACTAACACCCATTTACACATTAGGGTGTTAACCCCACCATTTTATATTAAACTTATCCAAAACATATCACATCCAAACCAAATGCAATTGTTTGAGCTTTCCTCCACTAACTAGCATGTGATCCTTAATTACAAATATTATGAAAAAGAAAAAGGAACAGAGTGGGTATGTGTCACACTATCACTAGTGGATGTGGTTGAGATTTAAAACCAATCCAATTAACATATCAAAAGCAGAGGACTTTGGGTAGAGTCTAAGTTACACTAGAGTCGAGAATTTTCAATCCAAGCAAGCTTTGAAAAATCTAAAGCTTCTACATTAAATCTCATATATGTTACGTTACTGTATGTACAGTACTGCATAAACCAGAAGTTCAACTTCTGCATAAGATCTATATTGAAAACAACATATTTACGTCTGCATTGTATTACATTTGATCAACCAAGTGTGTGCAGGTTAATAGAAAGAAAGAACAAAAACAGAAACTTCTTGGTTGCAAATTGCAACGCAAGAAGAGAAAACAACAGAGACAACTTAACAGAAAATAAAACAGGAATAAACAAAGTATCTCCTCTACTGTTTGTTTATCATGTCAAAACCTCTTGGTTCTTTGTGGAAAGCCGTTTGAGAAACTCATAGGTGGTGATCATTGTGGTTGCAGAAATCGACATTGAAGCCCACCGCGGCCCCAATCCTCTGTAACAAGCTGTCCATCCACCTTCCTTAACCAGATTCCGAACAGTCTGTCCGATTGTTGGTCCACGCCGGCCATTGTCCTCCCCATCCAAAACTTGCAACCTTGTCTTAACTGTATCGAGGGGCATTGTGATTAGGGCTGACATGCCGCCCGCCATGGCTGCACTGACTCCCTGAACTGCCATTATTGTTTTCGAATCCGGTGTATACGTGGTAACCCCATCCTCATTGCTTTCATCACTTTTCTTACAAAAATGATACCCGACTCCACCCCAAACCATTCTTTGAGCAACAGAGTAAGATGCCCACCAAACTGCATTGGATGGTGCATATGTCAAAATAGATATCCCAAACCCTCTATACAATCCTCTTGGCCCATCCGTCTTAATAATTTTCCTGAATGCATCGATCCCATTAACATATTTACAATCAGATGCATTAGGAAATTTGGAACTTGATTTCACACCACCTTGCACCATGAGTCTCTGACTCACAACATCAACTGGAGTCCACACAATTTGTGCAGCCATTGCTGCACTCAACCCTGCAGCTGCATTGGCAATGGCGGCTGGCGTGGGCTCTGAAATTCCTAACCTAATCGTGGCAGTTCCGACTTTACTCTTAGTGACCTCAAGCGCTGCCATGTACAGCGCCCGGGCAGGTATTGTACCCATCAAAGAAGTCCCAAATCCTCTGTACAATGCCCTAAAACCCTCGTGCCTAACCATTGAAATCGCAGTTTTGAGGCAAGAAACTTGGGATTGAGCTACTTGTTGCCGGGTTTTCAACACCACAACAGGGTAAAGAGTCGCCGATACACCCGAAAAAAGAGCTGCTCCGAGGAAGAAGAACTTGGATTTATCAAGCATTTGCCAATCAATTTCATCGGGAATATGAATTTCTTGCGCCGATTCTTCCTCGGCAGTGCTCAAATTCATCTTAGCCACCTTCTTAACGACTCAAATTTCCCAACTTTGACACAATTCGATTGAACCCCAGACCCCAATTACCTCCAAATAACCTTTTAACCCCTCAAAACTTCACAAACTCCAATGTTCAAATCCAAAATCTCCTCCAGTCTCGCACCAGTTCTATCTACAAACCCTATCTGTACAAAATTTACAAATCGAAAAATAAAAACTACTTGCGCGGGCTGTACAGTATTGAAGCCTTCATATATGATACAGATTTGATAAGTTCCATAATTAAAAGGGGTCGATATCAACGAATCAGCGCCTTTTTCCTCCTGTGGAACCAGGTCTTGGATCGGACAAGAACCGCACCGAATGCATCTAACATTTTTAGATACAAGAACGAAGCGTATCGAAGAATCTTACCCGGAAAGAGATCATCGGTAGCCGGAGAAGCTCGCCGGGGCAAGCTAGGGTTCCGATGGACATCAAACAGAGAGAGAGAGAGAGACTGAGAGAAAGGAGAGAGAGGGGGAGGGAAATGGTGGGTAATAATAATATGGCGTGTCTTATTTTAGGCGGAGGCTAAACAAGGAGGAACTGACACGTGTCGGTTACGGATTAGGGTGGTGGCGATTTATAGCTGTTTGCTTTGTTTTGTTCGGTTGCAAACTTGCAGGTGGAGGCCGGTTGCCCGAGCGACAGTGGATGACGTGTCTGATCCTATCCATTTTGGAAAAAGAAAATAACTATTTAATGTACGTGGGTCCCTCACTCCCTACAAATTTCTTTTCTTATTACACTTTAGCAATTTGCTTCGAAATAAATCGTGTAATTATTCAACACGCCAAATTCCTTTATAAAAAAAATAAAAAAAATCAAATGTATCCAACAAGAGAAACCATGGCCCAGACAAACTGTTGCCAATAATAAAAAATCTTATCTTTTTACTTATTTTGTCTCATAATTTCGCATGATAAGAGAGGTGAAGATATTTATCAAGGAAAAAAAAGAGAGATGGAGATGGAGAGAATGTAATACGGATTAATCACGTAACTCATCGAGTGGTGAGAGAGATGAAAAACTGTGCACTACTGAATTAGACACTTCAGCTGATTGGGGTTGTTTTGGCAAAAGGGCTGTGGTTAAACCAAGAGAGCCAAGCAAAAACTCATATGAGTCATTGAAACCACAGTAACTTTCCTTTTATATTTCTGGGATTTAATGGCCTTTGATCCTGCCTTATATTCAATTCGGGGAGAAACCGTTTAACACGCGTGATTATGTTTTAGGGTATAACATTAATAAAATGTACGTGTATTTGTAATATGGATTGTTAAAAACACTTGCCGAAGTCAGTGGGGTATAGCTCAGTTTTTAGGGAATCATAACCAGGTGCTTGACTGTTGAAAACAGCTGGTCACTTTGCCCATTATGAGACCAAGATAAGCATGAAATAATTCTATGGTCACTTACATTTGGTCAATTAGCATCCTCTGCTATGAATTCGACAAGTTATCTCCTAATGCCATACTTTAGACACGGAAGAAAAAACGTCGACAAAACCTGGCTGGTGAACATATCCTCCGCACAACAAAACAATAAAGAAGGACTTTTTATTTATTTATTCTGCTTAGAAAAAGGCCAAGAACGCAGAACTTGTAGATCTTCATTGATGAGGAGGACTGTAATTGTTTCCTGTACAAGTTTTTCCCTTTGTTGGGTGTTTCCCTATACAAGTTTCTATACTTGGGATAACAAATCTACCGTTTATGGTTTTGGCTACCAATAAGCATCGTCCTCATTCTCCAGTTAACCTGCTATGATTCTATGGAAAATGACCTTTAAGCCACTCAAGTATTTTTGCATGCCTGCTCAAACCACTGCAAACAGCAAGTTAAAGATTTCAGATAATAGAAAAGCAACAAGTTTTTATTTTATTTTCAAATTTTGGGGTCAAACAGAAGCGGGCATGCAAAATTTAAACCATTATGTGCTTACCTGTCTCAGTAAATCAGCAAGAGTCCTAGGAAGTGCTTCAATGTTCCTTAGTACAATGTAGAATGGGAAAGGAAAAGAGTCCATGTACTTCGAAAATTTAATATTCCCACCCTCGAAAGATGCTTCCTACAAAGACGCATTGCACGAAAGAAAATCCTGGAATTAGATATCCACTTTTCCAACAAAACAAAAAAGAGGAAATTCACAGATACATTATACTTTAAAAGAAGGGTAAGCAGCCAATTTATATAGTTCAAGTCCTTAATATACCTTAAAAAATCCTAGAGGGAAATTAACAGTTGCATGATAGGTCAGGGAGTAAAATGGTTGTTAACCCTAAAAAGAAAGTATGGAGAATTTACCATGAGGTCCATTATGGACTCTTGTGGATTATCAAGAAGCAAAAATGCAACCATACGTTTTCTAGCTAAGGCATCCCTAACACACTGCTTCAAGTTCTCCTGCAAAGATGAACTTTAAATACAAAGAAAACAATAAAACTGAAGACAAGCAGCAACAACAGCCCCTTGGCCACTTAAAAAAGAAAAAGAAAGTTACTTTCTCATGGAAACGACCATCCGCAATAATCAAAACGAGCTGTTCTAGTGGGTTCCATCCAGAGGGAAGTCGTGCTCTTCCAACTGCTTCATCTAGCTTGTTGTTTAGATACTTCAAAAGATCAACAACTGGTTCATCAGCAATGGTATTCTCCTGCTTGAATGACAAACTCGAGATCATCTGCACAACAATCAGTAAGACACTTTAGATGCTATATACCATGGGACAGAATAACTACTGAATAGAAATATGAAAATAAGGATCTATGATGTTATTTATCTACTGATATTAAAGGGCACTGACCTTGATTCCAGCCTCTCCAGTAAAAGGTTGATCGAAGTCATGTAGCAACCTTATGTTACCTTTCTTTCCAAAGCTTGCAACAGCCAGGTTGCCCATTTCTAGTTGGGACATTGCACGACATACCGTTACCAAAGCTTCAATAGCAACATCACCACAGCAGCTCTCAGACATACTACGGGAATCATCAACAGCAATGACAACTTGATAATCACGTTTGTTAGGACGGGTCCGTCTCAGCCATATTTTATCTTTCCGATAATGACTGGCCATGTATGGAATCACCTAAGAAATTTTACATCACAAGGAAAACTTACTAAAATATGTTTACAAAAATTGAAGTGGACACACTGGATTATCTTGCATCTTACCTTCTTCATGTTAATCCGCTTGCCTGTCTTATAATCCCCTTCAAGCTTGCTGGCTCGATTAGGCTCCATGACAAGACGTAATTGTTCAGCCAATTCCTGGGACAATCTTGTTGTGGTCTGCTCATATCTTCTCCAGAGAACAGTAGCATTGCCCACAACATCATCAGAAAATTCGCCAGCAACTTGTGCTTTTCCCATGTCACTGTCATTTACAGAAAGTTTACTGAGCTGATGCATGTCATCACTGAAGTAGGACGTCTGCACAGAAACTACATCCTCTACTATGCTTTCGGGATCACCATCATGACGGCTATGAATATCTTGATACTCATCGCCTGGCAATTTTTCTATACCAGAAAGATGCATCTGATCCTCTATCTTATCTTGGAGCATTGGAGCACGACTCCTGCTAGGCTGTGCTTCATATTTTTTATTCTCAATTTCCATGTCAACAAGGCCATCTTTATGCGTTGTACGATCATCTTCACCCGCATTGGACTTATTACCATCTACATTTCTGTCAATCTGTTCAGATGTTGCAGGTCCCAAAGCCTGAGCTGTCCCCTTTTCATACTCAGAAACGTATCCAAACTCATCTGCATTTTCATTCTTGATCTCATCTTGTGGCTCCACCTCACCTTCCTGAAGATCAACAGACACTTTAACTCTTTCCTCCCACTCCTTGAGTGCATCCCCAACACTACGGTAAGGGTTTGGTTTGCTTTTCCTCTCAGATGAAGATTCTTGCCTAGGAAGTTGACTTTTTGGTTGCTCAGCAACATTTTTACCATTATCTGATGCCTCAGAAATCATCATATCCAGCTCTGAGGTATTTGTGGAAGGTAAACCTCTCATAGGAGTAAGCTCATTATGAATATCATTGCTATTTGCCCAGTTTGATTCTGGTGCTACATCTCTTGGATCTGATGCCTTCAAGTCACTCTTAGGTTGTGTTGTAGGTTCTGTGTTGGGCACATCATCACGCATTGAGTCAGACTCTCCCAGTTCGAATACATCCTTACTTAATCCTGAATTTATGTCAGGATTATCTTCATGATCCTTACTTGCGTCATCCCTTTCAGGAGTTGCATCTATTTGTTCTGTCTCTGCCTCTCCCATGGTTTCATCAGTTGAAAATGCATGTTCTTCTTCATGGTCTTCATTCTCCGCATGCTCATCATGCATTTCAGGATCATCCAACTCCATAGGTTCATCAGAATTTTGATTCAAATCATCGGGATTTAATCCTGTAGGATCTACAACTGCTTCTTGTTTGTCCAGGTTCATGTCATCAACACTCTCGACATCATTGAGATCATCCTGGCTTCCAATCTCACCATTATCTTCATCAATTTCATTTAAATCAAGCTCTCCAGGCTCGTTGGTGGCGGCAGCAGAGTCATCCTTGGCTCTAAGCTCCCTAGAACTTGCATCCCTATCGTTAACTGAATTCCCAGATTCATACTTCTCATTTGAATTATTGACATTTTCATCTTCATCCTTATTCCATAGTTTCTCATCAACAGTTTCACCATCAACTCCTGTTTCTCCCATTGCAGATTCTAAATGCTCATCTGCATCATCTTCATTTGCATCATCTTCAGAGTCTTCACTGACACTAAATGTATCAGCTGCAAAATCCTCCTCCATCTCTATGCCTTTATCATTTTTACTTGGGACTTCACCTGAGGCATCTTGTTCTTCGCTAGCCTGCAGATACATGCAAAAGAAAATTTAGTGACATCTTGTGACAAATTGCCACATGATATAACGCATGATAAGTTGGTTGGAAATTTCCATGTGCTCAAATCAATACCTTCTCAGATATTCCAAGAAGTTGATCTTCATCGGTAATCTGATCACTGACATCATTCAGGCCAACACCATCTCCCATACCTGTTCCTTTTTTATCTTGAGATATATCACCAGTAGCATCATCCTCTTTGTCTTCAGAAGAAATCCCAGATCCCTTTGAATATAAAGCTAAAACGTTTGCAAGCTTATGAATTATTAAAGATACCTGCACATAAATATACATCAATGAAGACATAATGTTATACAAATTTCAAGAATCACTGACAAGAATAATTTAATTTCCTATACATAACCAAGTGAATGTTCAACACACTGAATATGAAACTGGCAACTTCTGTTCAATATTGCATAATTATAACAGCTGGAATGGGCTATAAGTTCCACCTCTGTAGCTTATACATAATGGCATGCAAGTCTTGTTGCTCAGTTAAAATGGTCAGTAATAAATTTAGCCTTCACGGCAGAGTGGAGGCAGGAAGGCGAAGATGTCCGGAAGGGCAAAAGGACCGAGAGTGGCATGGTGGATTATTTCTGTTGGAAGTAGCACTACTGGTAGTAAAGTGATGAAAAACTCACTTGGAGAAGAATTGGATTACCACGTCCATGTCAAATCTCAGTACAGAAAGAATGGTAAAGAGAAGGATCACAGAAAAAAAGAAAAGAGAATTCAGACACACAGATATCCTCGAGACATAAGAATCACCAGAGAAAACCTTTCAAACCCAATTTTCGGATAATGAAAATAAGGTTTGATGGGAATGGGAGCAACTGGCTGAAACTTTAGTTCCTCATTCCCATTCCCTGCCCCACCAACCCATGAAAAGAAAAAGGAATGAGAGATGACAAAGATGCACCAATATACCCATGATTGAAATGGAGAGAAAACGACTTACAGTTTTGCACATAGCTAAAAGTTCTTTCATCAGAGCATGACCAAAGTTCAATAAGATGTCCAAACACCTACAAAGATGTTTAAAATGTGCTTCAATTCTGAGTAAAAGACTCAGAGAATTTCCACCGCAATGATTCACCAGTTCTCCCTGAGCACAGAACAATAGCTAATTTATTGTGTATTCATACACAAGTGAAAAATAAAAAATATATATAAATATGACAAAACTTACAGCATAAAAGATTGTCCCCAGAAGTTTATTGCGTAAATCGTCCAAGCTCAGATTTTTCAAAAATGAGTCAAATACTTTTTCCCAGGACGTAATTTGCCCCAATTTGTCTGGATGAACATGGTCATTACTTGGTGAACCTAATTTTTGCATTGCCCCCACGATATGTTCAAATGTACTTCTTAGGGCTTCCCAAAATGCATTTTCGAGTTCACCAACTGACACATTTTTCTCATCCATCACTGAATTGAACTCCACTTCCATTGACCTCCCCTGGAAAATCCAGAAAGAAAAATATTCAACTTAAGTAAACCGAAAAGCCTAAAAACATTTGCCAAGAAATCTCCATCATATTTCAATAATACACTCCACGACAGCTACAGAATCATTTGCACACTACTACTAACAATATTTAAAGTACAAAGCCAGAGATACCTTCTCAAATATATCTACAAAATGACCGAGCAAAATATCTTCAACTGAGCTTTTATCCACATCTTTCGCATGGAAAACAAGAAGATGCTCCTCAAACTCCTTTAAAACCTCGAAGTTTTGAGACACCAATTGTTCCATGTCTTTTGAAATAAGAATGCATTTCGAGGAGCCAGCAAGAGTAACTATAGCTCTATCAGGACCAAGAAGGTAATTGTCCAATGATTCCTGTTATAGAGTCGGGCATAAATGTAGTGTGAGAGCTTACCTAATCCAGGGTAGAAATGTAGAACACACGAGGAACAAAAAACACAAACCTTAGATTTCTGTAGAACTGGAATAAATTTCTCGATGGAAGCAATAAACTCATTTCCTTCATTCTTGACAGTTTGACAACCCTTTAAATGGGTATTATCAAATGTCTTTAGCAGCAACAATTCTTCATGCGAAGTGGCACACAAACTATCAAATAGTTGCTGCAACAACAAAAAAATTTCATCATTACCATTAACTGTGAGGAAAAGCCAGGTAATTGAAATAAAAAGTGAAATTCCAACGTTAAAAATTACCTTCTGCTGCCACATGTATTTGAAGGTTGCATGTTGCTTTTGACCAATAGAGCAATTGCCACTTTTATCCTCAGAATCAGTGGAATCCAAATTCTCCAAAGTAGAAATGCATTCCTTCAAGTCCCTCAACTGCTCTGCAAATTTATTGATAGCTTTTTGTTGATTTTTTTGTATTTTGATGAGCTGGTGAAGAAAAGGGGCAGCTTTATGTTGATTTTTTTGTATTTTGATGAGCTGGTGAAGAAAAGGGTCCGGCCTGCCAATCTGCAAAGCATATAACATTAACACAAACTCTCAGTGGTCACGGCAAAATGACAAGATTCAGTTGACAAGTAAAGGTTGCTTCTGAAATCTAGCTATTATTAACCTGTTTGTGAGTAAAGAGCACAGATGCTATGCTACTGAAGTAGTATTCATTGGTTGTTTTCCATTCAGTAACAAGATCTTGATAGGGCAAAGGAAGAGCAGCATCAGAATCTCCGTGGGGAAGTCTACTTTGTGTCAGCAGAAGATGCTGAACATCATATGATGGATGAACGAACCACCAAGATTTAACTTCATCCTGTTAGAAGCCATTTGGTATAAGATCAGCAATTAGCTTATATGTGATTGTAATTTGTATAGCTATAGAATTAACAATAGAACCATTGGATCTATTTTCAGGCGCTCATCCAACACTTATTTGTAGTCACTCAGTTGAGCACAGCTATATATGGTGATATATGAAGAATATGTTCTAAAGAAGAAGCATGTTCTTACCTCAGTAAATATGTCCCTCGACAACCCACTGCTTTTTAAAAGATTTAGAAGGTAAGAAAAAGCCCGCCTTTTCTTTTGACTCTTGCTTGCATCCTTCCACAGATCACAGCAATCCACAGCACCATCAAAGATATTTTGAAGTGTGTGCCACACAGCATGCCATTCGTCTGTGTATAGAGGATAAGCGGACAGAGAAGCTGAGCATTGCCTTAATATTCCTGCAACTTCTGAGCAAAGACTGTTGGCACCTTTAGACTCTGAATATCCAAATTCAAGTGTTCTGTCACATCGTAACTTCTTCAGAGCAGCATCTGCTTCTTTTATCCAACCAGTGTACCACGTACACCTATGTCAGATAGATCATGCCACAGTTTTTCATTTAGAACTCTTACGAAAGAATGAAGCAAAATGAAGATTTTTAGTAGATAAAGAGACTTACCTGTCTTCATCATTAAACACTGTCAAATCAAAAGGAGCATCCATCGTCCCTATTTTTCGGTTCACATCATCCACGAAGAACTTTTGACCTTGTTGAGGTTGGGTTTCAGCCCCTTTCACCATATGTTGGCTAAGGAAAACAATTACAGGTTGTTCCAGAACCACCTATATAAACAAGAACAGAGGCATATTATTACTTCCCCCAAGCAAATGTGGACTAAACACATCACTGACAACCATGCATGTTATAGTCACAACCAGGCATGCTATAGCCAAAAACTGTCTGTTCAGATACAAAGAAGAGAAATTACTTGAAAATGGTGGGATATTAAAATTTTAGAAACACAAATCTTGAGGAAAGCATCAGAGACAAAGGTTGTGGCCTTGAACGGAAAGGTCAACCAAAAATATGATATTGGATTTTTATATCTTAAATATTCTCAAAATCAGAAGTTAGTTAACATTGTTGTGACCTTGAACTACACAAATAACCTATGTGGCCTCACCTATCAGATTCAGTGCCAAACCAATATATGTTGACTTGCACAGAATATATTAGGAAAGTATCCATATATGTAGCATTCAAGAACATCACCAGAATGACTAGTAGGAAGTCTGGATATTTATTTGATTGCTTTTTTTCTGATTTGTGAAATAAAATAGATACTACATTACTTACTGTGTACTTCTTTATAATTTTCCTCAGCTTCTGCCTTGTACTTGTGAAGTTTTCAATGGCACTCTCATGATGATCCCACTGACACAGTTTGAGTACTCTTTTGAGTTCCATCTCAATATCTCTTCTAGAGGAATCCATGTGCGCCAAAATTCTAGAATGAAAGCATTGCAATATCTCAATGTTTGTGAACGGAAAAAACAGAGAGAAGAGGGGGGTAGGGGGGGATGGGGGGGGAAGTAAAACAAAGCACTATGAGCTGACTGAACTCACGCTGGTAAGAATTGCGCGTAATATCCAAATGCATTGTACAAAATCTTCACATTTTTCTTCTCACAACCACTGCATGAGTTGTTGAAAGTTAGTATCCCTTAACACAACCCAAAAAAAAAAAATATATATATATATATATATTTAAATGGAAACAATTACAGCTAAGAACTACATCATGTCACCGCCGTGTGGATGAAACCATTGTGAGGATTTTATGCCAGTAAGATTGAGCAGGAAAAAGTAGGAAAGATGTGCAAACTTTCTATTAAACTTTATTAAGTGGTTGGAATGTTCAAGTACATCATGGTTTTAAGATCATACCTTGAATAAACCTGTAGGCTTATACCAGTATTTATTTGGCCAAGGAAAGCAAAAAGAAGTTGAAGGCGTTTTCTAAATTCACCAATGCTGGATGAATGAATGAACTCCTCCAAACTGCAAAGTTGTATTTGTGTCACAGAACTTTAAACACTAATAAACCACAAAGTTCCACATAAACCAGCACTAAATTTTATTCAAGAAAAAAGGTTTTTGAACATGCCTTTCGGTAGTAGATTTTTGGTATTCAACAACATCAGAAGAAAGCCTGTGTCGTAGAACTGAATAAAGAGAAAACCATAACTGCAATAAGACAATAACAGTAAGCACCACAGTTTATCATATGAAAGAAATGAACTAAAATATCAATGCATTAATCAATTATGCTAAGGGTGCTTTATTTGAACTCAGTTTTTTCATAAGTTAATCCATCATTCTATCTACACCCACCATTTTATATAGAAATCCCACATTCCATAAGTAAACTGTACCATCTTTCGAAAATAACGTCCTTGAAACCCAACCCAACTGACATATATATGCTTAACCACATCATATCCTTACATTCCCAAATCTGTTTGACATAAATGTTTAAAACTCAGACCCCACATTTCCACCGCCGAAAAACACCTCACAGCCAAGATCACTCACTGCCAAAGCACCATTCAAGTAATGTTCAACACTTAACCAATACCCATGTGTTTACTTTAAGTGCTGGGTCTTGAAAAGATGGTTAAAAAATTGAACTTTTCATCACTGTATTAGGCACTGGTTCATTGAACTCCAAGGAAGTTAGTCCCGCAGTAAGCCACCAAACTCAAAGAAGGTCTGTTGGCAAACAATGAACGAACCGAGATATTTTGATTTATGTTGTTTGGTTATTGACTATTCAAGGTTATATAGGGGATGCAGAACACCACGCGATTCCAGTTTTAGGAGGTACGAAAAATCTATGGTTGAACTCAAAAATTTTTATTTTATAGCCCATTTTTAGACTCCCAAACTACGATCTGGCATCTGAGCATCCATTTGTTAATAACTGATTAATGAGTGTAGGGTTTTTACTGGGAGGAATGATACAAATTGCCGGGTGGGTATAGAGAGACATGAGAGGAGTTGTGTTTAGGGTTCTTATAAGGAGGAGACGAATGACAAGTGATGTAGGTGGGTAAAAAGAGTATTTGTTTAAGTACTTTTTTTTTATTAATGTCATTAGGCTTGTAATGGGAATTTATAATTCACTCAAGGGTTGGGTTTACTTATGAGAAGGTTGGGTCCACCCTGAAGCTAAAGGCATCCATCTTTCCTAACTAGAATGTGTATACTTCATAATTAAATCAATAGGTGATATGATGAAAACAGGAATTGAATAAGTCAGGTTTCTTCAATGTAGACTTTCTTTGCCTATTCTTCAATGTTATTGTTGTTAATTAAGTTTTGTGTTGGTTTTTTATTGTTGCTATTTCCCAATCTTACACATACAGTCTGAACTTTGAACACTGCCCCAATCAATCCAATTTGTATTGATAGTACAAATTTCACAAAGACAAATAACCTTGAGTTACCTTTTCAGCATTAATCTCATAACGATCCTGAACCTCATCAAGCAAGGCAGGCCAGGACTCCAACTCCATCCTTTGCCACAAGAGCACAAGATCGCAAATAGGCTTCACTTGATCTATAAGAAGACATAGAAAAAGTAAGCAGAGAAAAATGCACCCACCCCACCACGAGAGAAAGGCTCGTTGAATGAGAACTCTTACCAGAGAAAGTGAAGCGCGAGCCATTTTCTTGTAATAAACGGAGTTTGTTAATTAGAAACTGCAATCCCGACAGAGCCTTCGCAGGGGAAATAAAATAAATAGATGAATATTGGAGTCTTCACAATAAGATAACTTTTAACAACAAAAATTGTGCATGCAAGTTTGTAGATGCATGTACTTTTGTGCCCATGCACACATACATGCACGCTGCTAAAAGCTCCATGACAAGAAGCATGTGGAGAGCAACAATAAACCCAGATAAACAGTAAATTTATTTTTTACGGACAACCAGTTTACCTTAGCTAGGGACGTGCTCAGGGGAATATTCAAAAGCATTTCAACTGAATCTAAGATTCTCTGAAGTTCATGATGTTCTTCGTACTCATTTAAAAGGGAATGAATTTGCTGCTTAAGAGCAGTAAGCAATTTCACCATTTCATACATCTTCGGAGCATTTGGGTCCTACAAAATAAGGATGGAAGTCAATTTAATAATATTATGTGATTAAAGATAAATTTTCATACTAGGGTGCGGGTGTTTCCAAACCTTGTAAATATTGTATTTACGGGCTGACGTGTCAGAAGAAACAAACTTCCACTCATGCTCCACACAAATATGAAACAAATTCTCTGGTACAAGTAAAGCATCCAAACTGGAAAGAAATGAACCCCCTAAACCTGGACATAAAAGAATATAAACATACAAAAAGGGTATAGTAAAAAAGAATCCATCCAGAAAGGAGAATCTTCAAAAGAAAATTACCTCTGACCATCCCTACTCCAATTGTATGCGAATCAGTGAATGAAAGAATTCTGTCGAGATCATTGACATGGAAAGCACCCGGCTGAATGAAAAAGAAACAATATCTAAGGAAATATACAAGGTCCAAATACAAAAATAAATAAATAAAAAAAGTTAGGGATATAAAAAATATATAATAATAATCCACATCTTCCCCCAAACACCTTCCAAAACTCTCCTATTTCTCTCCACACAACAAACCCCAAAATTTGGCAACACAGTACATCTTCCTAGTACCATGCCCCTCTTTCACCATGAGTAGAAAGGATCCAATAAAGGTTCCTCCTCTGTACCATGTCATAGGTATCACACACCAAGTACACGCAACTTAATTAGAAAACAAAGAATCAAACTGGTCCATATATGGCTCACCAAAAACAGGTATAGCTTAGGCTTTGAATTTACGAAGTTAATATTTGACTTCAATAGGGAATTTAACAGATAATGATGAGGCCATTACTCCAATGATAATCAATCAGTTGAAAGGTTAAACATAGGGCTAACACTCCAGGAAAAATTAGGGTGAAACAGAAGTGGCTGAGAGCTTTTGCATAGAGCCACCCAAAAAAAGCCCTAGATGTCAGCAGTAAACATATGTTGTTGACCATTAAGTTTCACAAACAACTTACAGCTAGAACAAGATTATTTGACCCAAATAACTGATTGTGAGTCTTGACCACGTCCTTCACAATGGAATCCTCCATGAACTTCAATTCCCTCTCCAAATCTTCTTGTTCCTCCGGAGCTTCCTCCTGAATGAAAAAATTTCTTTATGATGAAAGCAGGAAAAAGTACAGAAGTATAAACTACACAGGAAGCATATGCATACATGAAATTTGCAACCAGAACACAGGAAAATGAACAAATCCATAAACTTTGTGCTAATAAAAGAAAAAAAAACAGTACCCTCTCAATATGTTGATCTGCAGAAATAAATTCCTTCCAATCTAAAAAACTTTGATTTGCTAATGTCTTCCCAAGAGCCGATATATCAAGGTCAATGATACTCTCAAGTGTAAACGCACGAGGCTTAAACTTGAATTTCAAAGAAGCATAGTCCTGTTTGTTTTTAGATTGAATCTTCATACTCATCCAATGATCTGTAATCTCACTATATGTCTTATCCAGGAGCTGATTCAGAACAAAAAAATGTATTATCAGACGTCAATAACTCCAAAAATAAACTCCACTCATATGGTTTCAAAGACCATGGGAAATAAACAGACCATAAAGGATGCATAATCCATCAGCCGCGCATTAGCAACAGAATGTGAAACACGGACAAGAATGTTTCGGTGCAGAGTAGTTTTAAGTTGTGTAACAGAGACCTGTAGCAAAACAGGTACGAGTCTTAGTCTTGATTATTATGCCAAAAACTGGAGTAAAATTTCTAGAATTAAACTGAGAAACTGCAACACTTGAGCGGGATTACCCTGCAGGGAATAAAATTTAAAAGACTATACCATTTTATTAGTCAGAACGCCACTGGAAAAAGTAATCAACTTCTCGAGAAGACTTATATCCTCAGCA